CTCTGGGACCCAGGCTCTGGCTCGCGGCTTACAAGGGATTTCATCCCTGTGCACTGCCACCAAGTCAGCGCTGGGCCACAGTTCCCCAAGAGAAGAAATTGCTTCCTTATAAAGTCGCGCCGACCGTTCATCAGCGCAGGAAACTAATTTGATGCGGCCTTGGTAGAGACCAGCATCGCGGACAGTTGGCGCAGGGCCAGGATTTTTCCGGAGAATCTCCTTGTACACCCGGCAGAGACCCACCAGGACGGACCTCCAGTTGTCGGCCGTCAGGTTTCCTTCCGGGTGCCCCCTATCCATAACCGCCAGGATCAAGTGGTCCTTGGCCACATCACTAAAAGCCCTCAGAGCCCTTGGAGGGTTAAGAGGGCTGTTAGCGTTAGAGGTTTTGGGCCTCTTAGGAGCAGCATCCACGTTGTCTGCTGACTTTTGCCTTTTGCTACCCAGCTCCCTAGGACGAGAGTGAGTGGGTGCAGGTTTGTTGGCGGCATTTCCTTCCTGAGGTCGCTCACGACTTTCGGAGAGAACGCCCCTCGCCCTCTCAACCACTTCCCTCATACTCTCGGGAACCGGGTCATTGCCGAACTTCCTCAGTAGTCTAGAAGCGGCTCTTCTGTCCCTTTTCGCCCTGACTGCTGGTCGGACTTCTTTTTTGGTCCTCGAACCACTGGGACCTGGGACGCCTTTGCGTTGTTCCGACTTCTTACCCTCAAGGGGCTTGCGGTCGGTGGTGCTGTCCGTGCAGGACTTCCGGGTGCCAGTATCGCCTTCTCCCGGCGCCGCTTTGGAGCTGCCCTCAAGGGGTGTACTCGCAGCTTCCAGAGATGTGGACGACTGGCACGAGAGGTCAATTGGCCGTGCAGGCTCCGCTTGCAACCCAGACGCCAGTTGACCACTACCCACCAGGGGTTTGTTGCTACTGACGCCGGGCGCAACATTTAGTACTGTTAGCCGTTTAGGCTCCTTCGGGACCGCTCCAGCGGCTACCGAAGATGTCGTTTTTAGACAGACTTTAACGCCGTGTCCGTCGGCGGCATTTTTACCCGTGCAGGGATCCGGGGCTACATTTTTTGAGTTCATTATTTCTGGTTCGTTGGTCGCCTACTGAGCCGAAACCGTTCGGCGACCGAAAATATGGGTAAGGGGAAAAACGGTCGGCCTCAGCAGAGCCCCATGCTGAGGTAAGTCCACCGTTACTCCCGGAGGCGGACAGGTATCCGGGAGGCGCCGTTAGAATACAGTCGGAAAACCCCCTGACTGCAAACCATCCAATGGGCACGGCGACGCATGACACCCTGGATTAGGGGGGCGTTTTATACCTACCGCCAGGTACCCCCTAGAAATAGCCTAAGTATGCCCACCCCAGCCCCCCTCGGACGAGCCCGTACGGCCTACCACTAGACCTAGATGAGGCAGGGGAGTTTATACCTCGGCCTTGGCTAGGCCCCGCCTGCTTGCACCACTGCAGCCATAGGAACAGGCCTACCTTGCCACAGCGGTGTAAGCAGCGATGCCCATTGCCCAGTCGGCACCCGCTTGGAGGATATATCTAGGAGGATTTTCGCCAACCATTTTTTTTTAATAGTATAACCTTTGTTTTATGAGAAAGGAAAGCATGAAATAAAAATTTACCAAAATTCCATCCCATTTAATGACTGGGCTCACATTTTTTGTGAGTTTTGGACGTTATAGTGATCCAATCTTTCCCATATTTTATATTTAGGTTTTTCTAATAAAATAAAGACTGCAAACTAAATTTCATCGAAATCGGATGAAATTTAATGTTTCCGCTCACAAGAGTAGAGGGCGTGGCAATTATTCCATCTTTACAAAATTTCATAATTCTCTATTTCTAAGTAAAACTAGAGCACATGTCAAGTTTCAGTGGAATCGGTGCAGGTGTATTATTATTTCCACCTGCCTCCATATAGTCGAAACACTGTGCGTCGCTTCGTAGTTGGTCTTTTTGTTCGTACCATTATTGTAAGGACGGACGTTTTCTTTGTCCCTTGGCATTTTATTTAACAATTAAGTGACCAGAATTTTTTAACATTCCAGGAAGACAAATTCTCCACACTGAAACACACAAAAAAATTTATATTTATTTAAACACATAAATAACGAATAAATTAACAATTCAAAGTTCCTCTAAACACAAGTCAAAAAAGTTAATAGTACACTGCGTTGCATAATTATAAGAACGCCACCTATAAACAAGTTTTGACTATTTTTAAATTATTTAATTGAAATTGTATTACTTGCAACAGAAATTGCTTTTGTATTTCGTCAAAGTTGGACTATAATTTTGTATCAACGCTATAACCCGTTCAGCAATATCATTAACATATCTTAATCGTCTTTAAGACAACCAACTTCAGTGTCATTTTTTAGAGAATTTAATGCCCTACAAGAATATGCCTCGAAAAAATGTTATCCCTTTTTTATAACTTTTTTTTAGGAGCGTTTCTGTCTATTCGAACGACATGGCCAAGCCAGCGGAGCCGCTGAATTTTAATTCGCTGCACTATGTCTATATCGTTGTAAATCTCATACAGCTCATCGTTAAATCGTCTGCGGTATTCGCCAACGCGTAAAGGTCCGTAAATCTTTCGCAGAATCTTTCTCTCGAAAACTCCAAGAGCCGCTCCATCAGATGTTTTCATTGTCCATGCCTCCGCGCCATACAGGCATGATGAGTGACTTATAGAGTGTGATTTTTGTACAACGAGAGAGGACTTTACTTCTCAATTACCTACTTAGTCCAAAGTAGCACTTGTTAGCAAGAGGGACTCTCCGTTGGATTTCAAGGCTGACATTATTGTTGGTAATGCTGGTTCCCAAATAAACTAAGTCGTCTACTTTTTGAAACTTTTAACTGTCAACAGTGACGTGGGTGCCAAGACGCTTATGCTCTTGACTGTTTGTCCTCGTTCACCACCAGACCCATTCGCTTTGCTTCTCTATCCAATCCCGAGAAGGCAGAACAGATGCAGCGACTCATTTACAGTAATAAGAATAAGTGGCAAATTTGTCGGAAAACACCCAAAAAAAAGTCGGGATCCGCCGCTGGGCCCGTGTTATTTTTGATTATGTACTTGGATGTGAAATAACACATTTTCTAAAAAAATTTAAACGTATTTGCGCTTCAATGCAACGAACATACTTGTTTGAAGCCATCTTACAAATGCTTTTATCAAAATAAAAAATCCCCACACACAAATATTGCCACTGATAAAACTTATACTTATCTGGCAAACAAAATTACATATGGTAGGCAATAATTTCGGCTTTCCTACGGCACCGTGAAATACTTTGTTCGCTCCTCCAATTACGATCGCGAATTACCCCTTTCCCACGCGCAAATTCTTAATTCGATTTGACAGTTCTCTATCCCTGTGTTTTGTTTTTTTTTTCTTCGCTACAAAATTTGTGCAAAATGTAAGTAATTGGTAAAAATTTATAAGTTTCCGTATTAAATTGGTGATGTACACATGTATAAACTTTACTTTTCGTACTCAGAAAAAGTGTCAGTTTCGATAAATGTCTGATAAAAATTAGAGACGGCAGAGATTTGTCGCAATTCGCATAGTAATTGGATCTGAATTACCACCAAATGAGGTAATTTTCTCTCAAGATTTAGTATGGCGAATTACGTAATTCGAAGGATAATTGGAGTGCAACTTACGAATGAGAGAGCGAACTGCGTAATTGGCTAAAAGGCGTTTACATTGTTCAACTTTCACAGGCGGTTAGTTGAATCAAAAGTTTACATCACTGCTATAAAACTTGAAAAGGAGGACAAGCAGGACATTCTTGCTCAAAAGGAGGACACAGAATGACAATAATTTTGAGGAGGACAAATCACGTTTGAGGAGAACAATCCTCCTAAGTATGGCGCATATTTAAACAAGCTATCATATCCAAAATTAGCGATAATATGCAAAAATATGATTTTTAGGTAAGTGAATATTTTTATCTTCTCTAATCTAATAATAATAAAAATAACTCTAGGGCTTTATCCGGATCATCTGCAGATAATTCCCGCTGCCGTCTGTCTATGCTTTAAGTCTGCTATCCAATCCGGATTATGCAATACAATAAATATTGTTTTAGTTTATCTCCACGATTCAACCAACGAATTTGTGAGAAATAATAATATATACACTTCCCACATATTTAAGCTTAGGATGGTAACAAGGGTGCCTCAACACAACAATTATGTACGTGACGTTATTTAAAAAAAGTATTTATTGCATCACTTTGATATTTAACGTATTAACGTAACGTTTTGTCGGTAGCCGTTGATTGCAAATAGAAAGAGGACGTTATTGTGGAGATACATACAGGTGTGGGGTGTTGCATCACCTTTTACGTATGTGTATAATATAATGTAATGTGTACAAATGAAGAAGTTGTTGTCGGTGTGGCTTATGCCCAAGGAAAAACTACAAAAAAGTCAAAAGCTTACTGGTGTATAAATGCAATGCACCGCAATAAAATTGAGGTCGCAGGCAAATTTTGTTTTGAGACTGCTTATGAGTACTTATTTCGTTCCCGTAATCGATTTTGCGCCATTAGTTGCGACACTCTAAATTTTACTCCTAGTGTAATGTTAATTTCGAAGGAACTGTAAGGCTAATTACGGGGTCATCAGGATTAGGGTGCGCCGATAACCATGGCTGAAGGTGGGTCAGCACTAGGCGCCAAGTATTTGGCCATTATTTATTTTATTTGCGTAATTTTCAGATTTTTTTTGCGTTTTACTTTCTGTTTCCGTCTGTGTCCGTCCATGCTTATGACGCGGGGAACAGTGGTGAGTGCAAGAACCCGATTGTACACCAAGTGGCATGCCGCCTGCACTCACTATGCGTTCCGTTGCAACTTTTGACGAAGTTTTCACGCTAAATAAAAAAATAAAAAAAATAAAATAAAATCTTAAAATTATAGATAGAATAACAACACTTTTAAAATCCTTACTTTAACTTAATATTTACAGCAATCGCCCTACCACGGTTACGTTGATGGCGAATCGATGGTTTACAATCGCCCGCCTGGATACTGCATGAAGACAGTGTTGTTATTCTTCATCGCTGTTGTGGTCATGCTGATGGGCCTTCTTGGTGGCTACACCCTGTATCGCACATATTTACCTACTGCTTCGAATTTACACTACCATGCACTTTGCGATATTCCATACATGCCGACTGGAAATTTAAGTGTGCCACGTCTGTACGAACAAAACGATGAATTGGACTGGCGTAATCTGTTCTCACATCTTACAAAGTTCAATGGTTACAATGCGTTGGATGATGATTATTTCCGTGAAGAAATCGAGTTGGATATGAGCGATAATGAAAGCTACGCTAAGATTGATGTGCCCGATTTTAAGAATGGCCGTCGAGGACGTTTTATGCATGATTTCAAGGAAAATCAGTCGGCGATCATTGATACTACAGCAAACCGTTGTTACATTATGCCACTGGATCGCGGCACAACATTACCACCGAAGAGTTTTGTCGATTTAATGCAAAAGATGGGTTCGGGCTATTACAACATAGATACTGATCGCGTTCGTCGCAACATGCGTGTTGTCACGCCCTCTATTACTGATCTTTCAACGATCTCTGAGCGAATCGCTAACGAATGTTATGACATGAAAGTTTTTATGCTTGAAAACTACGTGTCCGGAGGTTGGTATAGACTGTATTTACTAAAATCTAGGTATTGTATCGAGTGACCGTAGTGAGTTTAATTTAAAAAAACATTCACCTGCGGAGAGGTTCTGTAACGATTTAACGGACATTTTTGGATCACTATCGCGACTGGTTGATATTAATACTCGTCGCAAAGCTGCGATAGCGATCCGAAGATTGTCGTTGAAAAAAGTTTATTCAAAATATCAAGGGACTTCTACTTCTTTATACATACGTAAAGAGTACTTTGAAAATTGTATTACTCATTTGACTCATAATGTTAATTAATCATAACTAGGACAACCCAAAACATGCTCCTTAAAACTTATTTTAAGCGCTTAAAATGTGACAACAATTCTAAATATATGCTCCACAAAATTCTTTTAAAATCATTATAACCCATAAGATATGCTTTTAAATTTCGTTTATGTACGTATTTTCATGCCCAAAAATACTTTTAACTTTATTTGCAGCACCTAAAATGTTCTAAATTTCATAAAAGTGCATATACATACATAAATATTTATGTTTAATAATTCATATTTATTCAATTTGTTTTTAAAACATATGTATGAAAGTACATGGAATCTAATTCTAAATTGTTCCACATAGGAATTTAAACTGTGTATGTTTGTAGATACATATCGTCGTTTAAAGTACAAAACCGCGTATCGTCGGTCTGCAAAGCCGGGTACTTGACATTTTTTGCCAAAAATTGGTTTTGCACACACAAGCTCCGCTACGTCGCAAATCTACCATCCATGCTTTCTGCTGTCGCATTTAATATGGAGTTGTCCTAGGAGGTGAGAATTGACTACGTAACGTTCCCCTAGTATTTGTAGTAGTATCACGTAGCCTGTAACCGAACCACGTTTTGTATATGCTGCGTAACCTAGTACTAGTAATAATAAAGACTTGATGAAATCCTTGTTAATTGCTTGCCAAACGAAATTATAATGGCGCGCCATGGCGGGTCAGTGGCGGGACAACCCATCTGTCAAGAGAAAAACATATAAATACATATATAGTATTTCTTTCTCACACATAAAAAAACTTTATATAAACACGATATGAACGCGCGCTTTTATGTCTATTACATTTTCGACACAATGTTATTATTCTGTTATTTTTTTCAGAAACTTTTATTATTAGTTCTAAACGTAACAACGCAGAGCAAAGTTCCCGAAAATATGCATTTACTGCAAAATATGCTGAAATATGTATTCATTGCAAAATATGCTCTAAGTAATATAACTCAAACTTTATATTTTTTGGAAAAACGTTTAAACATTTCATCAGCGTGTTGCTAACATGCCTGACAAAAAAAAATGCCCGAACATATTTTGGTTTGCTCTAATCATAACATATTTTAGTTTTTGGATACTTGATTACTCGAGTAACTGAACTTTTGAGTAATCATAATTTTAAATTTATCGAATAATTGAGTTATTTACTTATGTCTACATATCACATACCAAATACAACGGTGCCACTAATCAAAAATTTCCGAAGCGACATTTTTTCCAAGGAATTAAATCGAGTCAAAATAATGTCCCGGTTTCGGTTTTCGTTTCGCTCTTAAAATTTTATTTCTGTTTATATAAATATATAATATGTAAATATATGAACAAGTTTGACAAAAAACATTATGTATTAAATAAATATGTACCTTCCAAGGTTTGCAAAAATTTTTTTGCGACATTAAACATTGTGAATCTAAATTCATATAAAGAAAAAACCTCTGAAGCACTCACACTCATACTTTGCAAATTGCCTATCAGCTTGAAAGCAATTTTTATTCGGTCATAGCTCTGGCCGTTTGTTTGCAGAAAATTGAGTGTTTAATAAAATAAGAAAAAAATAATGATAACCTATACGTGTGAGCAAATTGAAAGCAATTTTACCAACGAGTAAACGCAAATTATTGCTTGTTTTGTGTTACTTGGACGTTACACGATCAAGAAATTGCTTTGAAGTTGCAGCACTTTCACTCTTAATAACACACACACTTTTTACTTTAGTTAAGTCAAACAGCTGATCGCATTTCGATGGCTGAGTGGAAGATCGACCTATCTCAGAAAACCCTCTCTCAGAAAACTTTTCAAGAACGCCCTACTTCAGAATTTGATTGAAATACACCCTATTTCAGAATTTTATTGAAAAACGCCCCATCTCAAGCGAATCGGCAGCTGAGATAGGGCGTTCTTCAACTAAATTCTGAGATAAGGCGTTTTTCAAAGATAGGTCAATCTTCCACTCAGCCATCGATTTAAGCTCTACCCAGAATTACTGCGGACGACGGTAAAGCGGTCGGCGGTAAGTGAACAGCTGAACAGTTGCCGCAGTGAAATTAAACTGTTTTTCGGTACGTGCGTATATAATAATAATAATAATATCCCAACGGTTTTTACCCTCCATTCCCGCCCATCCGCACGAGGGGCGCAGTCCGCATGACGTACGGAACCAATATTTTAAATTTTTTGTGCCGAGTCACGATAGGCAGGAGTTTGTTAAGTGTCGAGATCTAAAACTGTTCAGCTACAGAACTAAATTCATCAGCTTATTTTATGTATTTATGTCAATAATTCACTTATTGAGAGAGGAGAGTATCGCTTTCTTAATGCTGAAAAGCGGATCTGATATATCAAACGTGCTGGAATGAGAGTTAAAATCCTGGCATAAGCAACGGAGTGGGTCGTGCAATTCAAAATTGGTTTTACAAGCTTTCAGAAATATGGGACAAAAGTGTCTTGATACGCGTGAGGGAACATTAAAGCTTACATCAGCCAGAAGAGACGGACTTGAAATTGAGCCTGTCAGTAATTTAACCATAAAAATTATACCAAGCATTTCCATGCGACTGGCAAGTGTAGGAAGGTTAATAAGTTTTAAGCGACTCGTATAAGGTGGAAGACTATATTGGGAATCCCATCGGAAATTTCTTAAAGCAAAAAGTAGGAATTGTTTTTGAATCGATTCTATCTTGTCTGAGTAAATTTGATGCCTTGGATTCCAAACCACCGAGCCGTATTCCAGAATCGGCCTAACTAATGTTGTAAACAGGGTTTTAGTGATATAAGGGTCACTAAATTCTTTTGACCATCGTTCCACAAATGCAAGTACACCTTTAGCCTTGTTGACTGTCACATTAATGTGAAGATTAAAATTAAGCTTAGGATCCATTGTGATACCAAGGTCCACAAAATTGTATACCTGTTCCAGGTTATGGTTACCTATTATATAAGAAGCTGGCAGAACAGCTCTTCGCGAGAAGCACATTACTTTACATTTCTTAAGATTTAGAGGCATAAGATTTACTTTACACCAGTAAGCCATGCTGTTTAAGTCTGATTGTAGCAAAGACCTTTCTTTAATTGAAACGTACGATTTATAAAGTTTTACATCATCTGCATATATTAAAATTTTGGAGAATTTTATATCTGTAGAAATATCGTTTATAAAAAGAAAGAACAGAATCGGGCCTAGGTGGCTACCCTGAGGGACTCCTGAAGTAACATCAATGACGTCAGAGATAGTATTTTTAAACAATACCCTTTGTGATCTATCATAGAGGTATGAAGAGATCCAACGTAGAAAATTAGGAGGACCAAGAAGATCAAGTTTATAGATGAGCTACGAGTGGCATACTTTGTCAAATGCTTTACTGAAATCAGAATATATAACATCAACAGTTTTGCTCTCACTAAATGCTTTTGAGACATAGGATGTTAATTCATGTAAATTTGTAGAAGTTGATTTGCCCTTGCAAAATCCATGTTGACTGTATGAAATGCTTGAAGTGATAGAATGCGTCAACCGATTTGTTATAATTGCTTCAAATAATTTAGGAATTGCAGAAAGCTTAGCTATGCCCCGGTAGTTCTCCACTGAAGACCTGCTACCGCTTTTATGTAAGGGGGTTATGAACGATTCCTTCCATACAGTTGGAAAAACGCCCTCTTTAAGAGACAAATTAAATAAGGCTGTTAACGGCTCATAGAGATAATCACCACAATTTCTAAGAAAACAAGTGGGAATCTGGTCAGGACCATAACTAAAAGACTGCTTTAAGGACTTCAGGTAAACTAAAACCACATCGGGAGATATTATAGGGTTATGTATTGAGTTAATTGGACTTAGTTTAAAAGGATAGTCAAAGTATGCTTGGAAGTTAGTGGAATAATTGGATTTAAAAAACTGAGCGAACATGTTAGAAATTGTTTGATTATCACCAGAGACGGTATTTTGATACTTCATGGCGGAAGGAAACCCACGTACATTTCGCTAGGAGTTTACGAAATCATAAAATAATTTGGGGTTATATATTATACGTCGTTTGATTTTACACAGGTAATCTTTATAACACTTTTTGTTTAATTCAAAGAACTTGTGACGCAAAAGTGAGTATTTTACATAGTATGAGTGTAAGCCGGTTTTTTGTGTAATCTAAAATAACCTGACTTTCTGTTTTTCAAGTTTCTCAGTTCTTTAGTGAACCATAACTGTGTTTGTTCTTCAGGAACACACATGCGTTGAGGCACATACTTTTCAAATAATCTATGTACAGTACAATTAAAATGTGCAACGCTTTGCTCAACTTTTCCTTTGTATATAGGCCACGACAATTTAGACAATTCTTTATTCAGTTTTTTAAAGTTGGCTTTCGAAAAATCAAAGCGAATATTTGGTTCGTATGTTTGGACATCGCAATTTTAACCATCGTTTATAATTTCGTAAGATATCTCAATAGTGAAATAACATAAAGTGTACTATTTAGGTAAACTGACGTCTTCATATTTGAAAGCAAAATTTGATTTTGTTGTTCACCCTTATTCTAGAACCCGAATTTTCGTAATTCGTAATTCGTAGCTACGTTACGAAAAACGAAAAATCGACATGCTGCAACCATTGCGGAAAAATGTGCAGCATTGCCAGCTATCAGTTGTTTTTCGAAGTCAGCTGTATGAAGGAAAAAAAAGTGGAAAGGAATTAAAAAAACACTCATCAAGTGTTTGTTCATAGTAAAATTGGTTCATTTTACATATTTGGAGGAAAATTATGGACTCTGATGCATTTGCAATTATAGCATAGGAGTAAGAGCGCGCTATGGCAATGGATTCACAAAGGTATGCGGAGCTGTCGGGCATAG